GGAGACCAATGGGTGTTCAGATAAAACATTCTGAGTATACTCTGGCAGCCGGCTACTCGTCTCAAAAAGTCAACGGCGGACGAAGTATACTGACTTGCAAAATAAGTTGGTGTTAACAGGAGACCTAACTGAATCTCCAACCGAATTCGCTCCACAGAGGCCACCCACATTCTAGTCGGTACAAAGTTAGCGACACGCACATAATAGACTACTTAAACGCTGGTGGAAACTTGATTAGCCCCAAGGAAGGTGAAACCCACAAAGTGAACCGTGATTTTTGTCTAAAAATCAACCGGTCACACATATCTAAGACGGCTAAAATTCCACCTAATTACGATCCACTCCGGCACCAAAACAATAGGTATTCATGTAGATGCGCACATGCTTATCGGTTTGTGCTCTGATGTGATGGCCGAACAATCAAACGTGTCACCACGACACAGCACTCTATCACATAACAATCAGTACACTCGACTTGAATTACACGGAGGAACGTGGGTACACGTACACACTGAAGCGGCAAACAAAGCTCTTTAGCTCAGAAACACCGATGGATAAAATGTGGCGAGTGAAAAAAACCACAGTCGTAAATATACATCTCTGATGTCTCACTTGTACCGATTGGAAAGCGCCCAAATTCTTTCCTCGCTGAATTTCAGAGAGATTGATCGCAGACAGCTGTTCGCTAAATGTAAATCCTGAATGCAGCACCATTTTTGCATTTAGCGAATTACCATTATAGTCCATTTGTTCCACCTGCGGAAAACCACGGTTTTCTGTTTGATTCGCAAATTTAATCAGCAGGCGTTTTATCAGGTTGTCTGGTGTTGCCTCAAGAAATGAATGCCCCAGACTCAGACATGGTTGTCTGGACGTTGAGTTTTTGAACCGGAGTAGCGCCCGTCACTTTTATTCCCTTTGTGTTTGACATGGGTTCACTGGAACTAGCCATATTTTTACGATTAGTAAATAAAAATAAGTGCTCGGACGGGTACACTTCGGCCGAAGATGCGGCGTAACTCGGAGGAAGAACGAGTCTTGAAGTAAGGCCAGATCACTTGAGCGTAGGCGAAGGCAAACGTAAAGCGGTTCAAACCACGGACCTTCCGGTCAGCAGAGCTTAGCACTTTGACCGACAAGCTAATTCGAGGTCAAGCAACAAAGTACACAAATAATTCGTCACTTTCAAGAAGCAACTAGCCAGACGCCTTCCGCGACTTCTTGATGAAAGTCTGTCACGACATACTAAAACCCGTCAGTTCAACCGGAGAGAACACTTAGGATATTACGTAGCCATATAGTACATTTACTTTGTATCAGCGTCGGCAGCATGACAATTGTTCGACTTGTGTTTCACCGGGACAGCAAACTGGTGCATCAACGTGGCAAGCCTGCACGATGGCTGTCAGTTTCTTCCGCCCATAACCTAAGGCACTAGGGACCAGCGTTTAGATTTGAACCTAGTTTTTCATCAGTAGTTCCTGTCTCAAGAAGGCTTCAACAGTTTTGTTGCGTTCTTTAAAGAACTCAACACAAGTTCATTCCGAAATATTGGCAGCTCGGGTGTTTACTGTTGGTTGATCAGATGGCCGTTACTCTGTCCGCTGAGCTTGGCAATTGACTTGTAAATGTTTCAACCCCAGTCGAGGAGACATAGGCAGCGCGCCGTTGAGTTGGTTCACTCAATGGCGCGAGCCAACTGCCAGGCTCGACGAACAGATCAACGGCCATCTGATCAACCGCCAGTACAAGTTCATTCCACAGTTTTGAACACAAGAAGAAATGTTCCATCGGATCCGGGGCCTGAGGTATTGATTCCCCTTGATCAACTGGAAGAGATATCGAAGGAGCTGTCGTCGCCTTTATACGACTGAAAATATTTCAGAATACCTCCATAAGGAACCTCCGTCAGGTGAACACCTAGAGTAGACGGTTTCGGCTGTAACCAATTTTTACATTGTAAAGAGAGCACTGTCACTGTGAGAAACCACCGCCTAAGGAACATGTTGTGGCATCAAATTATGTGAGCCCGGTTTTTTTCCGATGGGAGGCTTCTTCACAAACGTTGTTACATCCTACAGGGACAACTGCTAACTGGTATCCAGCGAGGCAGGCTACCCGATGCGGAAATTTATTAAGAAAAAACCCACCCTGCACAGATGACACAGGGGGCATGATGGCTCAGGTGGTTAGAGTGCGAATTTAGTGACCGGAAGGTCCGTGGTTCGAACCCGACCTCTGCCTCTCGACTTCCCCTGTCTAGGCTTGGGCAACTTGGCAGTATCCCAGCCTCAGTGCTTCCTTCGGGTGACATGGCAGCTACGCACCGGAAGGGTGTTACAGCTGAACGCTTTGCCCGGCACAGAATGTAGAGCATCCTTCGAAGTCAAAGATTAAGACTGTGGATCTTCTATGGGTATGCCATCACCCCAACATATGATATATCAAGATGTGGTCTTTAAAAAGCCATTTCCGACCGGGATTCTGTATGCCGCTCCCAGATAGCACCTCGTGTTGCCCGGAATGATAATTGACGCTAGAAGTCTGATTACAATACCTCTGGTTGCCAACATTACTTCAGGCGCCCTTTTTGAAGGCACATACTATCACCGATTCACTTGAGCTGACTGGGACGCAGAACATAAGTAATACAAATACTGGGCTAGGATTTCAGCCCATTCTTGACCAGAATGATTAATGCTTATCAGTACCGGTGGCCCGGTGACCCTGGAGTGAGGAAGTGAATCTGTGTAGTTCCAATGCCCTCGGAGACCGCAAATCTATCGCTCACAGAGGAAAATGTTGGTAGCTCAGGTATCGTAGATGGTGGTCGTTGGCTTGTTCGCTGAGCTACGCACTACTACGCCTCACAATAACGCACTGATGACGCACCTCGATTGGGGNCAATCAAATTGCCCAGCTCAGCGAACAAGCCAACGACCACCATCTATCGCTCACAATTTGTTTCCCGATAGGATATCCAACTGAGTAGGGAGAGGAGGCCAGTCGACCCGTTCAGCGCAACAAATTGCTGGCCCTCTGTGCTAGAGATGGACTACCGTCTTGTCATTAACTGCTTCACTCTTTGGGGAGTTTCGGAATCTTCCTCTCCCTCTACTTCTTCAGCGCTCCGCATCCACCAGGTTTCTCGGTCAGTATGAACACCCATTTCACGTGACGGCCGAGGGTTTGTAAATTCTTACTAAATTATGGTCAACCTGAATGTCTCCAGGCCGTCTAACAACTTCGCGATTCGGTGACCTCATGTAGAACCATACTCAACTTTGGAGTCGGGAAGTAGCTAAATAGCGGGACAAGGGATGTGCAGTTTTTCCTCGAAAAAGAGGGAACAGCTACGGACAAGCACTCAGGTACTCCAGAACATCCAAGCTAATCTGTGCTAGCGATAACTGGTGACGATGTATATGGTGTACACTTCAGATACATGAATACCAGTGTGACCGAGCGCTTTGGGTTGTTTCAGAGGTTAGCTGCACACAAGAAACCTGTAACCAAGGGACGTTTGCCTTTGTCCGTGCGATTGGATTCTCGACAGAGGACCACTCCACTTCGCCTCAACAGCACTAGTCCCACTTCACTGATTACCCATGGTTCCTGCAACCACAACGATAGATGTGCGTTTTATCTGGTGTAAGGAGGCGACCTAAGCGTAGAATATCACGGCTACCGTCTGATGGCGTTTAAGTTGGCAGAATACAGAGGTGGTGATTCTTAGCAAGTTTGCGGAACCTTTCGAAAAGAGTTGCGGAGCGAACAGCGTTTTCCACGTGCGTAGCTTAAAACAATACCTAACTTAGCAAAACTTGTTGGTGCGGTCTCGGGATCACCAGAAGTATAAACAGGGATGAAAATCAGAAGGCGCGATCAAGTTGACAAACGTACCCAGGTTCTGAGTCCGCAGTTCATGAAATCAGCCAGTCGGTTTGCCATCTACAAATCGGGTACAGCTGCTACAGTTTCGGTCATTAGAATATAAAAGCGTGGGACACACAGCCAAGTATTGGAAGTGATGGCGTTATCAGTTAGTCCACATTATATATTGATTTGAAGGAATACGAAACAGGACAGTTAAGCGTTGAAGGCTATGATGAACGAGCATTTCTGACTGATTGAGCGTTATTGAGCCATGTCTGCTAGTGTCATCAACGACTGGTGAATTGAGCCCCGTGGCCTCCATCCAAGGGGGCGACGGTTGTCTACCCAACCTAGTTAACTGTTTTCAAACTTCGTTGCCAGGTCATATAATGTACCCCTTTCGGCTGCTTTCAATCAGCACCTGGCTGGGAGGTAGAGTCCTCTGGCAAGCGGAGTAGGTGTCCTAACCAGCGTAGCCTACGGAGCGTGTTACTTATCCATTGCGAGGAAATTCTGTTTTACTAAAATCATCCGGCGTATTTCAGCATCGCTAATCGGATGTTCCCGTAAGACCCGACCAATGCTTCAGTCGAGCACTTGCGAATTTCTTACGTCCTTTGCGAACAGAGACTACGTTTCTGATCCACAAAGTATGGATTGCATTGCAGCAGTGCATAAGCTGCTATCGACAGACAAGTAAATGTCACGCTGGCGCCACAGGCATCGGAAGTTGAGAAACGTTGCCCTGGCCTTCCAGATTCGGGAAGTAATCTCACCTCCGCCAAGTCCACCAGAACTGTCCAGGTAAACTAATCCGGCTACCAGGTCGATTGGTTGTTCTGTAAGCATGACGTTTGGGTTTCAACCCAAGCGTTTGACCCACAAGGCAGTGTGGGGATGAACGGTTCCGTTTGAAGATACTTCCCCTAACCTTAGACTTTCAACCACAAGACAGCAGTTTTTAGGGCTTTCTTGAGGGACCCTTCACAGAGCGAACGACTTAAAAGTGACCCACTTGGTGACAGGGAGACGGCCTGAACCGATGGCGCAGGGAGTAAGGCGCAAAACTCTTGATGCGGCCACGCACAGCAAGTGCATTTTGAGCAGCACCAGAATCTTTAGTTTTAAAAGTACTTGTACCGTACGGAGCGACCAAACACAGGGCGATCGGAGTGAGCAGTTTTCAGGACCGATCTTTCCACGCCGTCCTCACCCGGGGAGGGAGGCAGCATCGCTGCTTCCATAAATATGGACATGCTGGTCGTCTGAAGGAAACACCTTAATGCCTTCACACTTCCAAAGAAGAGGACTGTACGACTCTATCTCCAGACCACCTAGATTTATCGTAGTAGGAAGACTAACGCTTCGTCGGGCTGTTCCATGTTGACCTCACTGCCATGGTTGAACCTGAAAGAATTGATTCCCAGCGAATGTGGATCGCAAGAGCACTGAAGCGCGGCTACCCCGACAATGTGACAGCTTTAGATAGGGTATTTTACAAAAACAAGTAGTAAAGGATAGAGTCCAAATAACTGACCATACAGCCTGCAATCCTACTCAATTCAGAGTGCGAAAGTTACAGGCAATCAGGTGGACTGGGAGCCGACTCCGGTGGTTGAAGAATGCGTGGACAGTGCACCCAACTGTGAGGCAAGGCGATCGGGGTTACCAATTCTTACATATAGAGTATTGTCAGTAAGGTGGGAAGAAGAACACGAGTGCGTGGGAGAGAAAAGAGGCATTGGCAGTAGCTTGTACTTACCTACCTGCCAGTCTGCGCAGTGGAAAGGAAATGGAAATAGCTGATATCACCAAGATACAGCGGACGTGGCATGGTCTTGTGTAACTCATAATTGTACGGTATCTTCAATGAGGTCAGGGAACCCAAGCCTGGAGATAAGGGTGACCAGACTTGCCAACTAGTCTTTGGCTCAAAAACGTGACCACAAAGCAGCGGTACAAGACTACCCTAGTCTCACTTTTGACAGGAAAGCCACCAGCTTTCTATCCCCACTCAATCCGGAGGATCAGGAGACGGTCAGTCAGGCTGTTATCCATTAAGCGACTTGATGCTGGAGACTGCAAGTGTCAGCGGCACCTCCAGTGAACTGCCAAAACCGCCCGACCATGCCAAGGTCCAGTCTCATCGTGGAGTAGCTCAAAATTATCTACTGACCCGCGAGCGTGCGTTCACTAAGACTTGTGACCGGTGCAAACCGGTAGCCTTGTTATTGGGTATGAAAGTACCACACTGAGGAAACACCCCTAATGAAAACCATGACCGTGGGCGCTGGAAAAAGTTGCTGAGAACCCTATTGCAGTGCATCAAATCTGGTTGCCTACGTGCTGTAGCGTCTAATCTAATAACATAGGTACAGTTCTAAGTGTCCTTAAACTAAGTCTAATTCTGGTTTGGCACTGTTATCCCGAAGAGGGAGACAGAAGAATTGGTCACCTGCTGCCAAAATAGTCTGTTTACGGTATTTAACGTTAAGAACAATATTTGGTTATCACCCGGACACATTTTGCGGTGGACCATCCAGCATGGTCACCGCGATTGAGGCTATTCGAACACCATGCCTATTGTTCCAGACGAACCATCCACAATTAAATCAAGGTGTATGGAAAGGTTTGACCAAAGGCACCTCAGAGACACTCACCATTCTGATTAGCAGATTTGGCACTAGAATGAAATACTGTGAAATTCAGAGGATTTAGGTAAGCCATTTTCATCTTTCAACAGCATAATTTGATCACATGTGACCATTTCAAAAACTTGCATATCGCCTCATCCCTAAAATAATCGGGGGTACCCACTGCGTTGGATGCAATCAGCTTAACCTATCGCCGTCAAGTAGTGCACTCTTCCAATGAGTATGATTCGCAAGTCATCCAAGCCAGAAGAAACGGTGTTATCTAACGTAATTATTAGTGGTGGCGAGCAGTAAATATCAGCCATATCCAAAGGACTGATTGTCAGGCAAACGTCAGTTTAGCATCCATCGTTTCAACTTTCCTCGTGTCAAACAGTGAGCTCGATCTAGCATTTTCTGTCAGTCGGTAAGTTTCATTTCTCATACTATTCCGACTGTTCAAAGGCAATATGAAGTGACGGAAGAACTGGGAAACGGACACCCGTTCCAAAACGGCGTTTTGTCTCGAACATCTTAATAATCGACGACTTACGTGAAACTACTTACGTCAATGTAGCTGATCACGTGTCAATTATAGAGCGTTGTCAAGCTGTGAACCAAAAATAGCTTCAGTAAGTATAGTCTACTCGACCATCGCCCTCACGGAGCTTTACGCAAAATGTTCCCCCGTTTCGTGCACACGCGTTCCTGTTCCTGTCGATATGTCACCAAGTCGACAGCGACAATTTTTTGCTTCAGGACAACTAAGGTTGACGGGGTCATACCAAATGGATACTTTAGCCGTCGCATTATTCCGTGTAAAGCCGCCGTGCGACCCCAAAGAAGTACTGAGGCTTTCTATGCCCATACTACAGCGGTCGGATATTTTTTACCGGCAATTTCGAGAATTAGTCACTGAGCTAGTTCGTAGAACAAACTCCTTCACGCTCTTGAAAGGCAAATAATCAGAAACAACATGCGGAGGCCCACTACATGGCACAGTTGGCTGGTGTAAACACCAATACGCGCTAAGGGCACTAAGCACTCCAGGGAAGTCCATTAGCGCTCACAAAGTGCTCCATTACTACTCATAAGTTGAACAATTTCGGCTAGCCCCACGTGAAAATTCTGATTCTAATTAAGACTATAAATCGGTTCGCTGTAACAGGACCGGACTATAAGTCAAATCAAGTCTCGGGGTAGACGTCGTTCAGTTGAATCCTACGCTGTCAAGTTGAGTGAGCTTGATTTTGACTGACCATTAATACAAAATATTAGTGAAGCATGAAAAGCAGTGGCCCGGATCATTCACGTTAGGAAAACAGAAAATTCCACCAATTCCACCATCAAACACTCACTGGAAGTCATTAACACCCCCCAGTCACATGACTACTGACTCATACGAAGTGTGTACCAAAACGTTTGCCGGTTAGCGCGAGAATAGGCAGTCACTCAAATTACTTTTGGGCACAAATCATGCGCCGGACGCATAGTGCCTCCAGTGAATGCAGGTAGGCTAGGGAGACGAACACACATTAGATGTCTCCATTCATACTTTCCTGGTGAAAATAATCATAGGAACAGTTGAGTGATCACCTTGAAATGTACAACGGATTAAGGTCAAGCTAAATAAATCTTTGGCATGTTTCTTCCAGATGGCTGCTAAAGCAATTAGACTAGATGTTTCGCTTAAAACTGGTTGACTAACCACTGAGTTACTTCCAAACACTATGTGTCATATTGAGACTGTTTCTGTAAGGTGCACGTGACTCACATGACGCAAGAGCTAATCTAATAACCACCAATGAAGTGGTCTCAGTTCCCGAAAGCGTAAGGACCCGTTAAACTTGGGTCGAAAACTGCCGTCTGCCTGGGTGGAAACTCCGGGACTCAACTCCACAATGGTCAGTCATAAAGGGCTTTGGAAAAGCAATTATACTCGCGAGATTAGTGTGGCGAGAGATACTAAATGTGTCACCGCGTCAATGGAATAAGAAAGCACAAGACCGAGTTTCTTGCACCATGGTCACTTCCTGAATGTCACTATGATAACGTCGGCTTGGTAAGAGGCTGTTGTGAAGTCATCCTACCAAGGAAACAAGCAAGGCCATGAAACTGTCACCTTATACGTCTAGAAGTAGTGCACGGGAGATTGTGCAGTGGATTGAGGTGCTTATCGAGCATACCGTAGAACAGCAAAACATGGTTCCACGATGAACGGGTCATGCGCCACACTTCTCTCGCTGATTTAAGATTGACTAAAAGAGCCGTATTTCAGGATGAGTACCCATTTACTTTACACTCAGGATGAGTATGTTGACCACGCTATTTCTGTAGAAGCGCCCTATATATCTGGTTTCAAGTAATCGGTTGGCTGGACGGAGGATATCCGCGAACAGTAGTTCCAAAATTGGATTGTTGTTATTGTCAGAGTGAGGACGATAAGCTGCGTATCCAAGGGCTCCGTAATAGCTTCAGTGCACTCCTACTTGTACGCCACTAACATCTTACGTAAGCCGGCCTCCAACCTCTTTGCTGATCACTTGGAGTTACAGCGTACGGAAAGCCATATACAGGTGATCCAACAGAGCACCATCGAAAATTAGCAAATAACGACACCTACCTACAGAACAGTAAATGCAGAAATCGTAACGCCTGAACGACGAGTTAACAACGACGTCTTGAAAGTCGATAAACAGAACTAATGGCGTAGTGACTGTAAAACGCAAATGACACGTTGATGGCCTCCGATTCCCACAGATCGTCCGGTACTCCGTCTTGCAATAGAAGGCAGGTTCTGTGCCGAGTTTGGTGAATGCGCAGGGGCTTCTAAGGCCTTCACCTGTGCTCACTTTGGAAGCGACCAGCTAACGTGTCTGCGGTTACAAGACTGATTCCAGTAGTACGAGGTGACTTATTCAGACTATCACACAAAACTGAGCCTATCCACACTGAAACACACACGGATCCAAACAGATCCTGGCTGACGGTCAGGATTAGGAAGCTGTGTAACGGTTTGCTCGCAAATGAACGGGGCACAGAACATTGGAGGCACTCGAACGCCCACCAGATATCTGTGGCATAAACACTTCGAAGCGCGGGACTCTTTCTAAAAAAGCATGTCAATGAACCCCTGCTCCAATTAAGCCAAGCTGCCATTAGGGGTGACTCGGACCAATGGCTCCTTGCACTAATTTATCGGAATTCGAAGGTAGGTCCTGGTGCAAAAGGAACAGTGAGTAATACACCACTTGTAGTGGATACTTCTCATGCCCGGAGATCCACAGCAAACGTTCAAAAAAGCAATATGGCAGTACATATGCGGTCAGTACGGACACCTAGTGGCTAAAGTAGGTAGATTACAGTAAATAAGTGAAGCCTGGCACACCCTCACGAGCGTAGAAATTACTCCCGTACATACCAGCTGCCTCGCAAACAGTATTATTCAGTACTTCATTACCACCAAAAATTATCCAGACCCAGGGGTCCTTTGGCAATCACCGCGGTGTCCAGAGAAAGTGCACATCTTTTTGGTAGCTCACACAGCTGCTGTCCAGCAAGCAACACAAACGAGATGTAACGAACTGCCGAAGTAGTAGTAGTCAGTTGAAATGCAATGACACCTGATGAAGCTCACCCCCGAAAAACGAGTGCATACGCATAACGCAGTGTATTTCACAAAGCTACAGAGCTCAACTGATCAACCCTACATACATCAATTCGCGATGCCTCAGACGCGGTCATTTAGGAAGAGTATGCGGGATATGACGTAAAACGACGTTTGCAAACTGCATCCATCATTCACAGGGAAATTAGTGTTGGGTATACCAGATTTAAAACGCAATAGTCCAGTATGGTTATAATGGTGCAGGAAAGAATGAACCAAACAGCTGGCCGAAGCGCGGATGGCGAAAAGTAATTGCGATAGATCTGGATCACTGGTCAGTTTCACGCTCCGACGTCCACAGCTACAAACAATATGAGAGCGGAACAGAAAAAATCTTACCGTCAAATTATCCCGAAGTAGCTGCATAATCAAGGTACTGTCTTTGTAAGACTCATCCTTGATCTGATCGAGCCGGCTTATAGCATTATCGAAGGCAGACTTGGCCAATTCACATGCCTTGTCCGGACTATTCTCGATTTCGTAGTAGAATACAGAGTAGTTTAGGGCTAGTCCCAGTCTAATAGGATGAGTCTCACTAAGAGATTGTTTAGCCTTCTCCGTGGCTTCTTCATAGGCCTGATGGGATTTCTGAACGGATTCATTGCGCTTGTCTCCCGTTTGTACTTCAGCCAGGTAACGATAATAATCTCCCTTCATTTTGTGATAAAAGACCAGCCCGTCGTCTGTGGTCTCAGATGGCAGGGAATTTTTCTCCAGAATGTTCTGTGCGTGGAAAATGATGTAGGAGAATATACCTTACCAAGACCTCCTTGCAGACTTGCTCAAGCTCGTTCTCTATCTTTCGACGAAGTTCGTTCGTTGGTGACTTTTCATCCTCAGAATCCTTGTTTTTGATGCTTGTGATTACACGCCATGCCGACCGACGGGCGCCCACCACATTTTTGTAAGCTACGGAAAACAGATTCCGTTCATCGTTGCTAAGAGGTTTTTTCAGCTCCGTGAACTTTTTCATGGCGGCTGCCATATCAGTAAAGCGCTCCGCATGTTCAGCCAACTTCGCGATATGCAACAAAGCCTCCGGATCGGAAATATTTTCACGAACAACCCATGACTCGTCGGAAACCATGTTTGTTGCCTAAAGCAGAGGGGGCAAGGTTGCCGTGTTAACCGCCCGCCGAAAAATAGTTGAGTGCCGACTTAATGATTTCAATTCATTCGAACAACGAAGGTTCAGTAGATCGGTACGATGGATGCATCAGATACATATGCGATAAGGTAACCCAAGCCTCTTGGGTCTGGCTCACTATACACCCTAATTGGATTAAGATTCCCATGGCGGATGGAGGGAAGGATAGCTAGTCGAAACAGATTCACGGATTCACGGATTCACGGATTGATACACAGGATCGAGGCGTTTGCCCAAGTTTCCCGGGTCGGTTTTGCTCTTGTCGGTCAGTGGCTGTCGTTCACCTGCTAAGCACAAGTGAAAAAGGGTGTAGCACTGCTCTTTATGTTCTCAGCGCGGGGCAGTATGCTTGCCAGCGTGAAGATTCGCATAAATAAATGTCTAATAGTGCTTTAAACTGGGTTCTAGAAGG